ACAATACAATGTCAGTGTAGTGCTCACAGTAAAAAGGCAGTTACCATATCAGTAAAAACTGAATTAAAAATATGAAAAAGTAAAAGTGCAAATGTCAGTTTCACACTGGTGATTTTGAAGTGCCTGAAGATTAGCCAGCATAAAACTGTCAGTTGTTGTTTTATTCTTTTATATCTTTAATTTGTTTATTCCATATATATATATATATATATATATATATATATATATATATACTATACTTCAAACATCATTATAGTGGATAATTGTATTTGAAATAGACATGCTGTTTTTATTTTTACTTTAAAAGTATGCATGACATCTATCAGCCTGTGTGTGTTTGTGTGTGTGTGTATATATATATATATATATATATATATATATATATATAATTACAATTACATTTTGTGGAAAGAGCTTTTAATACACAATCCCCTTCCAATTCTACACAGCATCATTTCAAGTGGCAAATGGTGGTTCATTTTGTTTTTACCAGCACCCTTTCTGCTTGGCATTGTTGTAACCAATCCATTTTTCATCACCTTTGATTAAAAAAAAAAGTGGGGGTTGTTTTGTTGCATTTGAACAGAGAATTGCAGATGGAAATGCAATCCATTAAAATCTTTTCTACACCCTAAGATCATAGGGATTTATGTACCCAAGCATTTTCAAATGTCTTACAATGCTCATATAAGATATGTGGAGAGTCTCTAAGATATCTCATGTTGTACAACCTAGATTATTTTTAATCAGTATTTCAATTTGGACATCAGTTGAATGCAAGCCTGAAAGACTATCAAATCACCACTTCTGAACCCAGCAAACCACTTATAAACAATACTCTCAGCTATGGCACTATCTCCATAAATTGCACATATCTTTTTTCCTGTTTGTTCACGGTTTTCTTTTCCAGAAATAAAAGGTCAGGAAATTACAAAAATATATATCATTTTCCTCCATTTATATTTTTAAGGTAGAAACATTTAAAATTCACAATCCACACACAAATTATATAGAAAGATGCATTAAAATATCACCTTTCAGAATATATTTCAATCATGTGAAAAATGCTACAAATTTTTGTTCCAATCGAATATATTCATATTGTGTTTCACATTATTATCCACTTCATATTTTATCAATACATAAAATAAGTATTTATTGGAATGTATTTATTTGGTGAAATAAGGATGAAATTTGGTCTGTTCAGTGTAAATGTAAAGAAACAACAGCCATTTGTATAAAATGTTTTGAATTTCAAAGTTTCAAATTAATAACCACATTGTGAGTTTTAAGCTTTAAAATAGGTCATGGATTTGACAGATAAAGAATGTTTAATAATTTCAAAGCTTTCAAATTGATTGACCAGTACCACTGAATTGTGAAGAGGATTGTTGAGGAACTCAAATAATTCCAATGCAGGGCTGATAAGGGTAAGTTCAGGAATCAGTTTCTCCTATCTGTGTCCATTATCAAAAGAAAAGTTATAAAAAATCCATCTTTGTCAAGTTTCAAAATTGTTAATTGTTGTGGCAGCAAAGTCATCAAAATGTCAAGTCCTAAATCAAATGGCAAAATACATGAGACTGACCGCTAGGTCTTGTTTAAAAGAAATTTCTAAAGAAAACTGAATGAAAAGGACAACAGAATACATGAAGACCAGTTTTCAATTTTTTTCTCACCAATGATTACCCTACAAAACAAAGTCTGGGTGACTACTGGTAGAAACTGCCTTCACAGGTTGAGACATCAACAAAGTGGGAATGGTGGGTTGTTTTGGAGTGAAATAAGATTAACATTTAGTGTATCATAATATATATATATATATATATATATATATATATATATATATATATATATATATATATATATACATATCCTGCATATTCATATCGGAAATATTTCTATGAATCTTGTCATTAGTTTCTAATAATTAAAAAAAAATAAAGAGTAGTTAAAAATGTGAGAGATACATCAGCCATATTTTTAAATCTACTACAGAACCCATTTTTTTTCCAAGTCTATCAGATAAGGAGACTAACAGGCCTTATTCTCTTACTAATTTTACTAATCCTGGTGCAAATGGTAGTTGGTCTTTGGATTAGAACCAATATTAATATAGTTGTGGGTATCATTCTCTTTATGGTAAGGTTTAAAGATTTTATTGTTTTATGGTTAAGGGTGATATCTAGGTAGTCAACTATTTCATGGTTAGAGGAAATTTTGATCTTAAACCCTAGGAATTTGAATGCCCTGATAATTTTCTTTTGTAATTTTGCTATTAGTGGACCATTAACATTAGGGATAAGGATGAGCCCGTCATTCCTATACAGTCCTATTAGTTCTAGTTTTACAATTCTACTAAGCACATCTAAAATGTAAAAACATACTACGTCTGCAACTTAGGCTGAGTCATACACTCCCATGGGGACATCGAATTTGTCATTGTGGTGCTTAGTCCAGGTGGAGCTTGTATAAGAAATGCCACATAGTAGGAAATGATATTAAACTACAAACAAAGGTTCTAGCCATAAATAAACTCCAACCCTAGAATGCTTCCCCAGGGATAAGATACCTTATGCCCCCATCAGTTGCTAACTCAAACCCATTCTCATTACCAAGGCATCTACCAGATGAGGACTGACATTGAAAATAAATTTAATACAATGCTCCAAGCCAGACACTTAGAGGCTGATAATAACCATGTACAAAACAGCTTGAAATAGACTATCCCTTGTTGAGGTAATTTTTGTTTTTTTGCTGGAAAAAATACATCTGTTCTGTTATAATAAATACATCGAGCTCTCTGTGGATCAGTTTTAATAATTAATATTACTAGGATCTACCCGGATTATATACCAATGGATTGAATACCTGTTCTCTCTCTCTCTCTATATATATATATATATATATATATATATATATATATATATATATATATATATATATATAAATATATACACACATATATTTATAAAAAAAAAGTCACTTCGTAAGGAGCTGTATGAAGACACATATCAAATAGTGTTTAATGCTTTTTTAATAGCAGATCAATTATATTAATTTCAAAATAGAAAAGGTTGGTCATGCAACTATCAGTTGTTTATAATTTTCATAATTACCTACAGTTTTTTCACCCCTTATAGGTAATTATGAGAGGTATGGGCTAAGAATGCCCATACTGAGCACCTGTAATAATATTTTGGGTTGATCTGTGAATGGGGTTAAATATCAATAATACCAGAAAGTTATCATCAGAGGCCTGATGATTGTGCATGAAACTGATAGTTGCATAGTAATTATGATGACACTATTTCAAAACTATATATATATATATATATATATATATATATACGCGAAGATAAAATGGTATCTGTTCACTAACTACTATAGTTTTTCCCTTCATGTGATGAACAAAAATAAAACCAAATCAAATGTATCCCAGATCAGAGGAATTTATATATTTTGGAGCACACCAAATTTGCATGCTCTTAAAGTTGGTGTTGGGTAACCTGCATCAGTTACATTTTAGAATGAGAGTACTTTTTAAATATCTAAAATAATTTATTGATTAATTTATTGCTTAATTCGACAATATTTGACTGTGGAAGACATATAGCATAAAAGACAGTCACTGCTTACATTCTCACACTTTTGAGCATAATATGACAATAATGAAGAATGTTTTCTTTAGAAAGTCAAAGAACTTAACAGCATAATGATGTCACTAACTTACTGATTATTTTTTCATATTAGGTAGAGAAGATATAGATGTCAAATGGTATTAGATGAAAATACCTAAAGTGGAAATTAAAATTATTTAAATTCCCATTTATACATGACAAACTTTCAACATGTCAATAGGTGTATTGTCTTCATGAAACAACATGTTCTCTTTTACTGTTCTCAAAGTAATATAATGCTGACTGGTGCCTTGAAAGAAAAATAGTTGAGCAGTTTTCCTAATGAATCTCCTTTCCATGTTGGAAAATTACAAATTTAACTTTGAAGTTGATTTTGATACTACTCTGACTACTAGGTTAAATAAAGGACTCTTTAAATTTTCTGGACTTGATGATTATGATTTCAGGCAGATAGTATAATGAAACTTTTATATTAGCTTATTGCTTCAGTCATAACTTGGAATTCAACTGTCAGCTTCTTAATGAAGTCTCAAGAAATGAATAAAAATTTATTACCTTAAAATTCTCCACAGTTTTGAACTTGGAGTTGTTCTCTTAGACTAGCTGACACCCAAAGCTACAGAGCCCCCCATATAATCTGTTATTTATTTGATAGCTGGGTGGGGAAGAAATAGATTCATGCTTTTACCAAGTGCATTAGTGAAGTGAATTCAATATACTAGACTGGAACTTGAACCTGGCTTGTTGATTGCATTTTTTTTTTTTTACTGATAACTGTTGCCCTATCTACTCATTCTAATCAACTTAATCCATGTTATAAAAATGATCTTTATAATAACATTTTCTATGGTTCATATAATACTTTTCAGTATAAAACAAAAATAGAATTAACTTAATACAGAGGAAATATTTTATACAGTAAGTAGGCAGCACTAATGACTGAATGACATGAATTTCATGATCATTAGGCTAACATTCAAATAATGGAAAGTCTCATCACCTAAAAAGTCACTTTTTTATGTCATCCTAAACACAAAATTTTTATTTAAAAATAAAAAATCACCTGTTACTTTTAATAATTTGTATAAAAAATATAGCATTAAGGAATTGTGCAAAGTAAAAAAAAAAAAAAAAGAAAATCTCTTTCATAAATTATGCTATGTGGAGAAAATGTGAATGGAAAATCGAGTGCTGCCTGTACCCAAATGAAACTATAAAGTGAAAAGTTGGCAAAGAGAAGTTAGAGCAGAGTAAATAGCACTGTTAAGGCAGGACTAAAATGTTAAGTTAGGACAGAAGACCAGTTCCTAGATGCTAATGGATGAAAAAGTGATAGGTGAAATGTTGGCAGAAGGTTACCGGCAGGTTTAGCTTTCTGTTGCTTCTCAATGAGTCCACCGTCAATGAATAGTGAAATGCCTTTCAAAATATGAATTTTACAGCAATTTAAGGGAAAAAAAGGGTAAAACAAATATATATGGATACCAACAGTCTTTTGTACACACAATAGCATAGATAAATTTAAGATAAAATAAAAGATTAGCAAAAAGTTACACAGGAAAATAAAGCTTAAAACATTTAGGCTACTAAGTTGAATCATTACATAACTTTTCTTAGTATATATTTTTATTTTGTTTAAAAAGAATACCAGAATAGCTTAGGGTATTGAAATATAATGTCAAACAGAAGAGTTAGAATCAGTTTGAAAATTGAAAGTCTTATTATCTATGTAAATTTATTAACTTCCAAAAAGAAGAATATAACCTTAATTTTAGAAACATGATTAATTATTATTTTAAACTATTTTTTTTAGATAGCTGAGAATGAAATTCCATATCTAAAGAAAAACAGCTTTAAACTAGTTTTGAAAAAAATGTTTATTGTCAAAACAACAAAGACAAGATAAAGGACTCTAAAATATTTATATATTTTAGACTTTTTTATCTATTTTTATTCTTCTGGAGAACACATTTCTATATTTTGACATTATTATTATTATTACTATAGTAATGCCAAAGGGCATAAATAAAATCTCATTTGGAGAGTGTTTATTACTCATATAAATTTTTCATGATTTTTCTTTATTTAAAATTTAATGATGAAATTGTTTAAGAAAATGTTTTGTTAAAAAATTTAAGCAAATAAAATAGAAATAAACATATTCTAGTAAGTTTTCTAATAATCATAGCTGTACAGTAAACATCAGGTTGATTTGAGATGTTTCTAATAATGTTATATATTTATAACAAAGCAAATTGTAATATATAAATTCTTGTAAAGACATAAAAGTATACATATATTATTCTACACATTTAATGGCCGGTTTTCAAACATTTGTGTAAGCAAAAATAGCATCTATTCATAATGGATTTATCTGGTATCTGTATATACAATGCCTTCAAAAATCTATTTCTAGAAGTTTAAAGAATTTGCTCTAACTCATCTTTACAGTGATTGCCTAACAAAGTGACACTCCTGGTGATAGTTTGGGAGGATGGGGGCTATAATAAATTTGGGGTGAGAAGTTTAAGTGCTCTAATTTGCAACAGTCATCCAGCTTTACTCTGAGATACAGGTTACAGTAATTAAGAAATAATGAAATCTTGCAATCATCTTTTTAAACAAAAGGAAGGTAATTTTTTAATAGGTATAAAATAAGGAATATGGTCAGGAATTGTGAGTGAAAAGTGTGAAAAAAGAAACTGACACACAGAAGGAAACAAAAACAGGCACAATGCAGTAGCAGCAGCAGCTGGATGAGTTTTTCCTTTTTCTTTTGGATTGCTCAGATACTAAGATATTAAGTAGAGAGCCTCACTGAGCATTAAAAGCAATAGAAAGAAAAAGGAAAAAAAAATCAACTGCTGGTGTTTGCTATCCCTTCTTAAGGCTGTTTTAGAGGCATACAACATCTGGCAACACAAGTACTACTCACGGAGGATAACTCAGTTTTAGTATTTAAGCCTTCTTCTCCTGCAAGAGAGCGTCTCCGTGCTAACTCCTACAAGACAGACATACATAACATGTAGAATCCAGAATATCATTCCACCTGAGTAATTGAGAGCTACAGCTGTGTAAAAGACTTTTCCTTTTTGTGAAATGCAATTTCCTTTGAATGATAACCTATGAATCAATCAGAAAATTCTTCTGCAAACATTCTTCAATTCCATGAAAAGATTCTTTTTGTATTTCCACAGGATGCTTTTTATAATTTTGATTCACAGTATATATATATATATATATATATATATATATATATATATATATATATATATATATATATATATATATATATATATGTGTATGTGTGTGTGTAAAATACTGCATTAAGTCTTGAAGTTTTTATGTATACTTTATTATTTTCTTGTTAAAAATAAAATTATTTTTTTAAAATATGAATGAAGTACTTTAGGCTTACTGATAAAATGCTTTGAGTTAGCACAGAAACATTTCTTTATTGCAAATAATTATAAACATCTGTATATTTAATAAGAATGGCTTCAATAAATTCTTTAAAAAAAAGTAGATAAAAGGAAACATTTTAATAGGAAAATAAAATTGATAGAAATATTCAAACTTTATACTAAATAAAAATTACTCTTTCGTCAGAATAAAAGTTATGTCTATTTTTATTGAAAATTTATAACAAATCAATAAAAATATCAAGTATTTTTTGACTTTGTTAACATTTCATCATTACAAAATTAAATACATCAAATATAATTGCAAAATAATTTTAGTGAAAATATTTAGAATCATTACTGAAAATTGAAATGAATTATCTTCCGTATTTCAAAACTATTTTTATCTCTGAACATCTTCTGATGACAATATAAAACTGTATTTAAATAATTTTAGATTATAAAAATTCAAACAGATAGAGAGAAAAATCCCTGACATATGTTACTAATTCAAGATCACTTAATTCTATTTTGATTGCAAAATATAAAAAAGGAAAATAACTTTATTGTCTATAAATTTAAAAGATTTTCCAGGTTTGTAGATTATAAGGGATCTTGAAATTAAACATTTGAGTAGTGATGAGTGAATACAGAAGTTGTTTTGCCTTGTACTGAAAATAATAAAAATCTAGTAATTAAAATAAGCTTTATGCAAATGCCAAGATTTTCTTGTATCATTTTTAGAAAAATATCTTGTGACTTAAATAGTATCATTGTGTGGTTTAATGTGTAGCATAATATGGTGTAATAGTGTATAAATGCAAAAGTGTTTGAGAAATCAAGTGCTGATTGTACTCTTGTTAATGGGGATTTCCACAATGTTCTTTTATCTCCAAGATGAAAAACAAATAGTCAATGAATGTGTGAACATTGCATAAGTGATTTTTATTTTTTTAATTTCTTGCTGTGTATGAAAATGAAATGGGAAAATGAAACAAAAACACTTAACCATGACAGCATTTGATGTTTCATGAAAATATTATCTCCAGATTTCAGAATTTTTAAAAACATTTTTGTGCACTTTCTACATACCAAAACAAATAAAAGAAAACCTAAAATTGAATAAATTCATTCTAATATTAAATACTGGTGGTAATTTTACAATAATAATTTAATTTTCCTCAGAATGTTGTCAATATTTTTAAATTTGAATAAATTATTTTGTGCAATATTTACAAAGTTTGGTCAGTAATACTTCTTTATGTGAGCATCATGAAAACCTATCAGAAAAATTATTTTGTTTTTTTGTCTTTGGCATTTTAGAACCTGTAAAAAAAGACATTAACACATACATAACTGTGTAAATAATACTATAAAACATAACAACCATCACCAAAATATTTTAATCAATGCAGTGGCAGCTGTAATCCAAAAAGAGAAATATAAAATAAAAGTATGGATTCATGCAAATCCATGTATTTTGATAGTAACAAAAATTCACATGGAATATGGTAAAAATGCAGACTGGACCAAAACCTGTGATAAAAGAAGAGACAGTAAAAATTGGTGAATGTAGTTATACTATTAATATAGGCTTTATATATATATCACTTTTAAGAACACTTTCAGAACTGTGGATTATAATAATAATAATGTTAACAGGTACATGTTTTGTCTTGGTGAATATCCTGTTCAGTATGACAGATTTGCTTGTCAGTTGCCTGGACATAACCAGTTAGCGCATGTTTCCTAGGGGTAGATGCACTGTGCATCACTGATCATGAGTGGGAGTAGTTGGGAAGAATCATGGCCAGGTGTCAAGAGGGTGTTTTTTTTTCTCTCCATCTTGAAAGATGAAGCAGCCAGGGTGACTTGGGAGTCACATCAACATACTTCATATTTCTAGAATACTTTTATTCAGAGACCATCTGATCAGACAGTTTACTCAACCTGATGGTATTTTCAAATGTGCCCCACCTGCAAGGTTATACATGGCTTTTATCAAAACATGTACACATTTGGCTGTGATGCATGTACCTTGTGTATACTTATACTGGGTGGCATGATAGCTATATCGAGTTTTGTATATTTGTATACCAGTGTCACTTTTCTAATGTGCTGCTCTCTCAATTAATAATAATATAAGTACTATAACAGATAATTGTAAAGGTTTTTAAATGTTTTGCAGAAGTGGCTCAGTTTTACTTAACTGTTTAAAAGTAAAACCCCAAAAGCTGTTAGATACACTATATGAAGCAGTCTTCATTTTTAGTACATATTTTTATGTGAAATACAGAAAACTTCATAAAAGGATAAAATTATGAAGGAAAGTATTCTACTTATAGTTAGTAACAAAGTGGTAATAAAAACAAATAAGAAATAGGGAGAGAGGGGAAAAAGTTATTGTAACTTGATGGAAATGTTTGTGAAAATAGATACTAAATGATACTTTTGCAAAATGAGATATTGCTAATTAAAGTGAACAAATATAATAAATAAAACTTTTTGAATTTTAATTAAAAAATCTTATTTTTCTTAATGTTATCATTAAAGTAAGTATTCAAATACATCTTTTAATTAAAAGTAGAAGAGTTTAATTTTTTTTACTAGTTAATTAATTCACATTCTTATTCAGAGACCTTGTTTCTGTATACACAAAAACAAGCACACAAACACACAAGGAAGAAATAAAGAAAGGATGATTACTCACAAGAACAGCTGGAACAATAGATGTGGGTGGTAAAATATGGTCCCTAAACTCTCCTAGATCACATTCCTGTTTCACACTGGTAGCACATTTATCATGATACTATAAAGAAGAGACAAAATTCCAAGATAAACACAGATAAGGAAATCAATATTTTGTATTGTTAGAATCAGGATTTTAATTTTCTTGTTTTCAAATATTTTGATCAACATCAGCAGGTATATTTTTTAACAGTATCTAGATTTCTTTAAGCTAGAATTAATATACTTAAGCTACTTTATATTTTATGAAAAGTGATAGTGTTTCAATATCAAATCTATTGAGTAATGAATATAAAATGTTCTGAGTTAATATTTAAAATGGAGCTTCAGGTTTAAAAAAATATCATTGAAATGTTTAAAAAATAATTAAAAATAAATTCTGTATGTTGGAGTATTTTTTTAACAAATCTTTTTGTAATGATTACAATTCAAAAGAGAAATAGGAATATATTAAAAAAACTAATTCTGATTTTTTATGCTTATTTCTTGCATTTCCTTTACACAGATGATTAAGCATAATTTCTCTAAAATCTTGTAAATACTTAATATGACTCATTCATATATCCACTTATAGTATCCTTTGTAATATTTATCTAAAAATATTGATAGCTTCCAAAAAGAAGCCTGTGAGTGACCAAGATATAGATTAGCAATTCTGTTAACTATAAGAAAGTAACATTTTAAAATATTCATGTTTTTGGAGAATTACTATGAATGATTATGAGTGGAAAATGCAAATTACTCATTCAATAAAACCTGTCTATTTTCTACACACATTTTCTTAACAAGTAATACTTACTACAGCTTTACACCATCTACAGGTTTTGCCATTGATCCCAGATTTAATAGATTTCTTGCATTTATCACACTTTTGAGTACAATTGCCATCAACCCAAAAATGCTGCATATCCTGTAAAAGAAAAAGTTTTTTTCAATTGAAAAAAAAGAATACTTCTAAAATTTTATACTGAATAATATACAAGATAGTATTCATCTCATGATTTATATTTTTAATCTGAAATAAAAATAAAATAAATAAACTGGATCATCTAGTGTTGTGAGTATTAGTCTTTTTTCTTTGTTGTTCTTACAAAAGATAATGACTTGGTTCAGTAATTATCAATATTTCAGATGAGTTTTTCAACAACTGTAGTTTAACTTATTCATTTTTAAGGGCATTTAAATGTTTGCTGTTATATTTGAACTCCTCATTTTTTTAAGTAAAACTAACCAAATTGTAATCTTTCATTTAAATGGTTTTTAACTACAATATAAAAAAAAAAAACAAGGCAAAGTACATTAAGACTGTTTTTAAGTCTCTTGCTAGAAAGAATTTTCTCCAGATGATCAACAAAAGAATATTTGCCTTAATTTCTTATCATTTGGTCTATTTCGAAATTACTCAAATATTCAATTCATTTTACTTTTTGATAAGAAAGTAAAAATGATTTGATTTTTTTCAGGCCTACCAATTTTTTCTCAGTCTATATATGAGTGTGGGAAAAATTCTCAGCTTGACCCATTTCCAAATGTCCAAACATCAGAATACAATTTTTGTTGTTGTAATTAATATATGCTGACAACACATTTTTACCAACTCCTCTTGTAATAGGAGTTTCAACAATGACTTTTATTTTATCCTTGGCATTACATTAAGACCAAATCCCAAGCATATCAGGCAGTATCTTCTCCCTTGAATCATCACAGTCTGGAAAGGCCACAACAACTTGTAAATGCGTACTTGCAAGTACACCTTTCTGAGATATAAAATAGACACACTGGAGCCTTGATGACACCACTTAATTTGGTAGGATATACACTCACACTGGCCAGGAATATGTCAACATGTTCATTAAGTTTCCATTAGTCCATTACCTTGTTGTGTTGAATCATGGCCATCAAAATGTGATCAAAATTTTGGTATATAAGTTTGTTCTTCAGGTAGGTTATGAAGCAGCCATTCTTGGTTTGGATCTCTATCTTCAGACATTCCCTGACATTTTTAGACTTATGGTACTATAACACTATTTTCAAGGGCTTTGTTGCCTGACCCCTCACCAATCTCTATGTTGCCATTCAGCCATTGTGTACCTGGTTGAACTCGGCACTGGAGTTAGGCTTGCTAATTTGAATGGTTGCACACTTCAGTGGATCTTTACTAGGAAAACTCAGAGCTCTTGACTATGCAATGGACACATTTAGATTTGGTTTGAAGAGAAATCTGTGACCAGATGTCTGCACCAGATTTCTTGGTCTGAATTTGTTTCCCTGGCAGTCCTGCAGTCTGTAGCAGGGAAAATATTCTATAGTTTTGCATGGTCTCCTTTCCTTAATTTCTCCTTCTTGGCTCAAGCAAATTTTACCCATGTGATTCAGGCTGTTGCATTAGTATGTAATTTCAGCTCTTGTTTCACTTGTGTGAAGTGAATGTACTGTCACTACCAGTGAATCCATCCCTGCTGCCTTGTCCTTTACTATTGCTATGACCCAAGCCAGTTAAGAGATATTGCTTCTATTCAAGAAAAAGTGCAAATGCTTTGATAATCCTACAATGAAGAGGACATTCCAGGCTGTGCTTGGGCAAAGCACCAACCTCACACAAATTGAAAACTAACTCATCCTCCTCAATCTAGTCAGCATTCAATTGGCTAGTTAGAAAATGAATGATTGAAAAGTCCAAGTAGTTGCAAATCCACTGTAGCAAAATGAACTGAACACACACACACGAGCACCAACAATACAGCCTTGCCACTCAAATATAGCCATTTATATAGACACCCGTATGGATTGGTCAGATCAAAATTTGCATATCCTGCTAATTTCTATATAAAATGGGCTAAAAACATGGCTTGAGTTTTTATTTTAATTTTTGGCAGAGCTTACACATGACTTGTGGTATTTTGTTTGACTTCTTTTACTGCTACATTAATATTTGATAACTAAAATATCTATCTACATTTTAATATTCAGATGTTCATGAGATATAATAATATAAAATAAACACAATTTTATTTGTTATGCAAGTATTGATTACCTATATTTTTTTGAATTACTTTTTTTTAATGATGGTTTTATTATAATTATATGGATGAGAATTACAGATAAGATTTCACTTAGGTCAAAACAATTATCTAATTATTAAATAAAATCAAAGATTCACCTGAATAGATTTCTTGGATTTCACATAAGTCATGATGCAATTTGCAGGTGCTTTCTGTACACAGCGTTCATGCACTATGTATTTACAAACTGAAAAATAAATAAATTAGAAATGAATTCCAATAGAAGGACAATTAAATAATTCAAAGTAATCAATGTTTTAATAATTTTTATTTCTAAAATAAATACCAATATTCAAATTAGCCTGGAGAAAGTGTTTGCAAATCTTAATAAGCTGATACATTTTGTTAATTGAAAGAAAATGCACTTTCATTTTTCTTGCCTTTGGGTTAGATCAAAATGTAGTATACATTCTTCTCCTCTCTGACCTATGAGGAAGGCTTAATTCCAGGGGTTTCAACTCTGCAGCAGTATCTCCTTCATTACATAAAAGAAAGAAGGTTGGTAGAAACTGATGCTAGTGTGAGAGTGGTGATCATGAGGACTGGACAATTTTTGTCATTGACCCATATGTACATGCATGAACATTTCACATTAAACTGACTTTAAACATCTGAATACCATGGCTTACATAGCCTCCAACAAGAGAGCTTTTAATTGAAGCAATAGAAAGGAGTATAAATCTCATTAGAGAAGGAAAATTCAACACAGTATGTGGCAAAATATGTTGGTTGTTCCTGGTTAGTTGTATCTAAAGTTTAGTGCAAATATAAACAAAACAGAAAGGTTATAAATGGAAAACATGTGTAGACTATGAAGGATGTCAAAGTATCAGAATAGAAAACTTAAAGCAGTATGTTTTAAAAATAGAAAATGCATGTCAAAACAAATGGGCAAAAAAAAAGGAGTTCACAAAAATAATTAAGGTATTTTGTTGATATTTCCATAATTTTTCCTCTATTTTATCTGGAAAAATAAAATTCCATTAGCAAAAATATTACATTTAATTTATTTGTGATATGTTTTATAAAGACAAACTGTTCAGCCATTAAACAAAAATTGTTTTGTGTCATATTTAACATTTGTTTAAAAAAGCTATATGGACATAATTTTTGTCAAGGGTTGTATATATGATGAGACCTAGACATAATTGCCAGAAAAGAGAAACCTTTTTTTATTTTTTAAATCAAGATGACCTGTACCAGCAGTCAGCATATGAAAAGACATTGCAAAGATTGTAGGGGAGAAAATGGATAAAATATCAAAAATCATTCAGAAAAGAATCTTTGTCTTTGAATTTAAGAGAAACACAGTTGGAAATAAAAGTCAGCTTAAACTACACAGGCTTTATCATAACAAAGAAGGTGGGAAACATGCATAAGAGGCAATTACTTCAGCCATGTGTATAAAGCTTTATTTCACAACCTGAAGAACATATATGTAGTTAGAAAACAGTAATGGAGACAAAAGATAACCCAGTCAATTATGTATCCATTGTACATTCTAGTTGATAATACATTCTCAGTGGTAGCAGATAAATTAGCATGTGTTCATAGATTACATACTTGAGGGGAAGAATAAAGTTCCTAGGAGAGAAGATAATGAAAATCTGTCAAAGGTGTGAAAGTAGAAGAAAGTAAAGTGTCTGCTGCAGCGAGAATGAAGTAAAAGTCAGTCAGGTGAAAATATCACCAGAGAAAAATCTTTGTTCTCAAGACTTTAAATGAAATATTAAAATCTGTTGAAATGGCTCCTAAGATTATTTCTTCAAGTTTGTGTGAGATCATATTAGGCTAAAATTATTCCAATAATCATTTGTGACTGAGATTGTAAATTAAAACATATTCACAGCAGAACTTATTTGAATGCATATCAAAGAGAATAATTAGTAAAATCTAGTCAACTAATATATGCCATACACCAATGGCATGTATAACAAAAATCATCGTTTATACAGATAAACAATATTGTTATAAAATAAAATAAGACATATCTTGGCTGATTTGCAGGCAAATAAACTAACATACTCAAGAGCGAGAGCCGGATGTGAACGGGACAAGGCCACGTCACAAAATGACCATTATCTTCGTTTACGCATGTTCCTGATGCACGAGTTCCGGTCGAAAAATAAAATAATATTTTAAAGTCTTTCTATTTTTCGACCAATAAAAATGCTTCCCTCCTAATTATACTTGCGTCGTTTTTCGAGCCTGTTAAGCCATAAAAAAACACCATAAAAGGTGTCACACAGAAGTACACCAGGCAGTCAACAGGAGGCCAGGGAAGAGACCTGTCACGGTCAGGTTGAGAGGTCAGCAGCAGTAGCAACACGCCAACCAGTGAGAACTACTATACCACAAGGTAGCAGTCCCAAAACCACACGTTCCTATTGAAATAAATCACGTAAATCTATTTCTGCTGTTATCGTATTTCTTTCTTGCAACTATACGCTTATCTATAACAATATACTGGAGAGCAATCACAAGTTTATAAGATGCAAAACAAAAGTAAAGATTATGAGACAAAGTGGAAAAATTTAATTATAATGTTTGTATATTCATAAACAGTCTCTCTCTCTCTCTTTGTATATATATATATATATATATATATATACACACACACACACACACTGTTTATGAATATAAAAACATAACTAGTAATATTCATACAATTATAAAAAAATAGTTTAACATGAACTAGTAATAGAAGGCATTTACAAAGACATATACTCAAAATGAAAAGAAAGAAATATAGATTTCATAACTTACACTGACAACACAATCCTTTTTTCCCCATACCAGATAAGATTGACTGGCACATGTTGCAATGCATCTGAGTTCGAAAGTGCTTCAAATACCAGCAATGTGTACCATCATCTTTGACATTCTGAAGTAAAATAAGAAAAACATAAAAATATCAAGAACAAGCAAATCATAAAAGTTATGAGAATAATAACAACACCTAATTGTATTTGTATAAGTTCATAATCATATTTGTAAGTTCTGCAAAGATCTCAAAAATATTTCACGTTCTGGGAGACATGCAACCAGCAGATCTAATGAAAACATCATGCAGTGTGGGCAGCTGTTTGGAAAGCTAACTGAATCACCGTGCTTGAGTTGTCAGAGAATGTGAACATTAGTTATGATCCATTCTCACTGAAGATTTGGGTATAAGACATATGTCTGCCAAGTTTGTGCTAAAACTGTTTTCAGTTGACCAAAAAGAAAATCAGGTTTCTGCCATGCAGAATCTTCTTGATTGTATCAAGGAAGATGAAAATTTTTTTGAAAACAGTTATAACAGGTGATGAATCGTGGGTATGTGGCTATAACCCTGAAACCAAGATTCAGTCTTTGCAGTGGAAGAACCCAACCTCTTCAAGACCGAAAAAAGCATGAATGAATCAAAACAATGTGAAGACACTGTTGCCAGTTTTCTTCAACTACAAGGCATTCATTGTTCATCATGAGTATGCTCCACCTGATCAGAGAGTAAACAAAGAGTACTACCATAATGTGTTGTGGCATATTCGGGATGCTGGTCCTCAGCAAAAGACAGAATTGCCTGCATCTAGTGAGTGACAACTCCAGCATTGCAACACACCTGCCCATTCAGTGCAGCTTGTGCAGCAGTTTTTGGTCAAGAACAACATTCTCCAGGTTCATCAACCCTTATATTCTCCAAACCTCACATCTTGCAACTTTTTCCACTTTCCAAAAATCAAATCTCACTTGAAAGGAACAAGATTACAAAATGTTGTGGAAATCCAAATGAATGTGATGAAACAGTTGCTCGCTATCCCAAAAAAGGAGTTCCAGGAATGCTTCCATCAATGGAAATCATACCGGATAAAGCTTCACACTAATTTTAGATAAAAAACAACCTATTTTTTTTAATTAATGAATAAATAGAGCTAAATACTTTAACAAAATACTTGTAAAACGAATTTATAAGGTCTTGTTTGTAATTATTAATTATTAAAGAATGCTATGTAGTAACATAATTCAGGTACTTTTATTATGAGATTAATTAAATCTAAAACTATCTGCCTCAGTAGAGCATTTAGAACTGATATGTCTTTTTAAAAATATTCTTTTCAGTGTCAATATTAGGTAGCAAGTAACTAACTTGTAATTATAAAGGAAAAAATGAATATCCATCTTAATCTTAAATATTTTCTTTATAAATTTGATTAATTTCCAATTTATTTTAAATATAATTTTACTATAAATATTCAAAACGATCCAAAAAACACAAAAAAATATATGTCAATACTTACAGCATCCAGACCAAGGAGAACCAGAAGTGGAATAGTTGTAAGGCCACCTTTTTTCCACTCTTCAAGGGTCACCCTGCCATCAGAGTCAAAGTCAATTTCTTTCATCATGTCCTGGAGAATCTATAAGCAGCAAAGCATATGAGCTTACATGAACTATATCATAGCAGAAAAGGATATTATGGTTTCCATAGGGAAACATGATACCAATTGTAAAAAATGTAACAATGTGTGTGTGTGTGTGTGTGTGTGTGTGTATATATATATATATATATATATATATATATATATAAAGAAGTAATGGATTTTTTTTTGTTTATTAATCTGATAGATTTTATCAGTTTAAATGTTATTTTTAGTGGATACCCATAATTGAGGAGATGGTTCATTTAATTTAAAAAGTATATTTATTTTTGTCTACCAGCCTGAATATTCAAGAAATCTTATTAAAGAAAAATGCATGACCCTTTACAGGAGGAACCGTCATTAGATTCCATGTGCTTTAGACTGATTCAACCACAAAGGGTGTCACCAATTAAGCAGGGCTGAATAGTGCCTTTAAGCAAAATTCTTCTCATCACAGATTCTTGAAATTTTATATCTGCTCAATTTCATATCTAAATTAAAAAAGGCAATTTCTAAAGAAGTAATAAATTTTTATTTATTAATCTGATAGATTTTACCACTTTAAATGTTCTACTTAGATATGGGTATCCACTAAAAATAACATTTAAAGTGATATATAGGTGTGTATGTATGTATGTATGTGTACGTATATATATGCGTATATATGTATATGTATATAGATGGATGTATGTATATGTAGGTAGATGTATATGTAGATGTGTTTATATATGTGTGTGTATGTTTTGGTATGTACTCATATATATCTGTATATGGGTGTATAAGTATGTATGTATGTATGTATAGTTAGACGGATAGATATAGGGATACATTGTTTATTGGTTTAGATGGCTGTATGTAATTGTATGGAGATGTAAGGTTTTATGTATATATGTTTATGTGCACATATGTGTATGTCAGTATGTATATATGTGTGTAAATGTGTGTGTGTGTGTGTGTATATATATATATATATATATGTAGGAGTGGATGTGTATGGATGTATATGTATGTATGTGTGTGTGTGTATTTATGTATGTATATGTTTGTATGTATGTGTATGTATATGAGAATATATATATATATATATATATATATATATATGAGGAGGAGGCACGGTGGAGTAATGGATAGCGGCTTGGATTGAGGAACGCAGAGCAGAGTTCGAATTCCAGTCGAATCCATTACATTCACTTACGTGCTAATACCCTTGGGAAAGGTGTGAATCCTCTTCTTCTCCCTCCAGCTATGGGTAAAATAGCAGGACAGACTGGGTTCTATAGCCTTGGATGGCAACTGGTCTAGGAGAAGGACAACTCAGAATTCAAAACCTGCGGAGGGTTGTTTGAGGACCTTGTGGCACTTAGTGCACCAGTTCTCTGAATTCGGCCCTTTAAAAAGTGTGGCTGGTCCTACACGAAACCTTCACCACTATAATCAAATCTCATGTGCTGTTGTCAGGCTGTCGGTTTTCTGGGAACTGATCTGCTTGACCCTGATATGTCGAATACGACGGGAGAGTCGACGACTATATGGATATATGTGTATGTGTGTACATGGTTATATATATGTGTGTATGTGGGTACACACCTATACGTATATATGTACGTGTATATATTATTGTGTATGTGTGTATACGCATGTGTTTTTGAACATAAAAATATAGGTCCTTGCTAGATTAGATAATCGTTATATTTATTTTTTATATGTTTATATTTGATTTGTAACCTGTAGTCGATATAAATTTTGTCAAATTTTCTTAATTACACAGCGGCCCTTGCAGTGAATGCCCTTCAGTTTTAGTTTCCCCCGCCCCATCTCCCTTTCCCACCACTTTTTCTTTGCTTTTCCTCTCCCTCCCTCTTCTTCTGATCTTTAAGATTAGATCGTCTATTGTGTGTGTATGCCACCACAAAATGTATCCTTTCCGGTTACATCTTTAATCTATTAGACATCCGACAACATTCATATTTCTCTCACTTAAACCGTCTTTGACTCACCTCTCTAAAACTTCTCTCTGTTAAGTTTTAATCTCCCACCTTCTCTCATCTGTTACCCCTCTCTTTAGCTCTACATTCGTCCCACACTCTCATACTTACATTTTCTCTAAATTCTATTTTTTATTTCCGAAGTTGTTTTTTCTGTTTTCTTTTTGAATTTGTAGGTCTGATGAATTGGATCGTATTTATGATTCCAATGGAATAAACTATGACCATGGAATATTAGTGTTTAAGCCTTTTTTTTTATATATATATATATATATATATATATATATATATATATATATATCCTGGCTGTCAACTATCACACAAGTAAGACCACCTATTCATATAAAAATAACCTACACACACCTAAGAAATTGTGCACACGAAAGTGACTCTTAAGTTCAGGCAAGGTTTTAAATACTCTGCTATAAAAGACAAATATATGGGGAATGGGTGCATCAGGTATATGATCTCCATGCCTACACAAATGACTCACTAGACCAGCCTTGAAAAGAGAGATTCTCCCATTGTGATGTTCCTTACTCTGTATTTGAGTGTTATGGTACCCAGACTCATCCTTTTTGGCAGCATGTTTTATTTGCTGATGTTTGATTCAATATGATTCAAACTCTCTGATAGACTGATAAATGGTAGCTCCCTAGCCAGACACTCCTTAAATCTCAAATTGGCTTGCACTGACGACACTTACCAATAGAGATTTCTCCATAAAACAGCTGCTTGAGAATACATTGATTAGGTGACCAAACCAGCAAAGGAAAGATCCGAGGATCATGCTCTCAATACTAGGTAGTGAACATCTCTCAAGCACTGCAGTGTCTGTGTAAATGACAGCCATTTTATCCTCAAGATCTTTCAAAGAGATCTCTGATGAAATCTTTCAAAGGGTTTGAGATGTTGACTGTATACAACCCAGGTCTTACAGGCATATAAAGGAGCAGAAAGAATACAAACTTGATATACACCCAGCTTGGTAGAGGCCTTAATATTGCATTGGCTCCAAACCCTTTTCTCAAACAAACCAAAAGAGCTGGTAGATTTTTCCATCCTGAGACAGATCTCCCTGTCCAAAGAATTATCCTGAGATACAAGATACACAAAATGAGCAACAAGTCTGAAGTGCTTCCCATACACAAGGATTCATAAAGCTCTTGCTTGGTACAGGCTGATACATGACCACTGTCTCGCTCACACTAATAGTCAGGCCAAAGATTGTACAGACTCCAGAGAAGCAGTCCATTATTTCCTGCATCTCACTTTGTGCATGCATAACCAAGTCACAGTCATCTGAATACAGTAGAGCTTGAACCAGAGCCTTGAGTACCCTTGAAGCAGCCCTGAAGTGACAAAGATTGAACAGTTTGCCAATTGATCTATAACAAATGTAAATACCATTGGCATTGGTTCCTAAAGTGAACTTGAAAACAACTGCAAAGAAAATTGCAAAGAGCTGTGGTGCAAGAACTCAGTCCTGCTTAACCTCATTCACAACTGACACAGGGTCTGCAAGGGCATCATTAAAGTTAACCCAGGCATTCATATCATTGTGAAGAGATCGAACAAGGGCCACAATATAGGTGGACAACCCACCCTCCCCAGAACCTTCCAGATTATCTCATGGTTAACTGTGTCAAATGCCTTCACAATGTTGATGAAACACTGATAGAGATCAAGACCCTGCTCAATACAATTTTCCTGAATCTGGTGAGCCAAAAAGATCATATAAACTGTGCCATACAAGACAGAAACCGCAGTGGGATTCTAATAGAATGGATGGGATTATGTGTATCTCCAGGCAATTCAAAAGAACTCTTGCAAAAACCTTTCCAATGATGGAGAGTAAAGCAATTCCGTGATAGTTATCACAGAGGTCCCTAGAACCCTTCTTTAACAAATAGATGAGAAGCACATTCCTCTAATCCTGAGAAGTGTGTGTGTGTATATATATATATATATATATATATATATATATATATATATAAAGAAACAAAACTGTAGAATAAAAATTATTTTTTGATATTACAAAACATATTTAATAACTAGTAGTTTGGTTGGTTGAAAATCCAGACTTTTGCTATATTTCATTCCATTTCTATAAACAGCCGATTAAAAATTCTAAAATGATTAGTCATGTCTTCCATTTCTTTCAGTCTTTGATCCACCAGTTTTTGTCACTGGCTGATTTTGAAAATGAGTTTTATTTTTTCCAAGCAAATATGATTCTATTCATTGAAACCTAATTGTTCTTTCAATGTTCTTTTCTGCTTGTCTTCAAAATTCTGCCTTTCACTGTCCAGTTCATTTTTGCAAATGTTGAGATTGATTTCTCAGCCATTGCACTGATGTTTGAAAATAAAGCTGACAATTTTCAATTAGTTTTCTCATGTTAAAACCGTACTAACATTTTCAAGCTTTTGAGTATAAAAGTTCAGTTTTTTTATTAAATTTATTAGTCTGAAACCATTCAGATCAAACAACTGTTTTCTGTCTTCAGGTACACATTGGCCCAATAAATAAAAATGTTTCTCTGAATAAGCTTTGCTAAGACACCATTTAGTGGTTTGTATTTCCTCTTTGTAAACTTCACTTTCATCTTACACTGTTCTGGCTGAAATATTATCTGGTATACCTTCAGGTTCATATAACACTTTTAGATATATCCCTTCTGATTGAAAAACAAGCAGAAGTGCTTTAGAGTTGTGCAAATTACACATATATTCCTGACCGTCCTCCTCCCACTTGATCTCATCAGGATAAAAATAAGTTTAATTCAAGCACAAGGTCACAAAGCAGGATGAAAAAAAAACAAACCAATCGAATGACTGACTTTGCACCACAAGCATGAGGACAGATGACTAAAACAACTGGCAGTAATAGAAAAGTGGAGATGAAATCTACTGCCTAATATTTTAACAAAAATGCCATCTTTAATTCAACTAAATTATGAAATACAGTTTTCCTCTTTGTTATCTATGATGCTAACATTAACTCTGTATTGAAAAATATAATACAAACAATTTACACAATTTCCATTTCCATGTGTTTAAAAGAACACTGAAGTAATGAAAAGACATACTAACTGTTCAGACCTGAAAAAATTTATCATCCAGCACTATATTAAAAACATTTTTATGATAATTTCAAAACATCTTCAAAATATATTTTATTATTCTTACTCTGATGTCTATATTTTTAAAAAGAAAATATTGCTTATTCATTTGACTGTGAATATGCATATACCTAATTAACATTTGCTTCCACAGATATTAAATATTTACAAAGAATTAAACTATTGGATCCATCAAGCATGTTTGTCCATAATGATCATGGCTGTTAAAAGTTTGACTATTTGCAGTTGGCAGTGTTCACAGGCATGAAGAACAATTATTTCAGCACAAGAACAAAAAAAAATCTTAGCACTAGCTTCATATGTTAAAATAATATTGACAAAAATCTCCAAACTCAACATCATCATTGAACATTAATAGACAACTTCTAAGCTGAAAACTCAATCAACTGATTATTATTACCTATGAATTGTGTATCTTGGGTTAAGATCTTGTTAGAACTAACAGCATTTCAGAATTGTCACAGCAAACTAAAGGTTCAGGCAGTTCAGTATGCTATTATCCTATGTTTTAGGGAGCAGCACCCTCACATTCACTTTGATATAACATGTTAATCTGATCTTTACTAGAAATACAACCTCATAGACAATCACTTGTTTATATTTCAACAAAAATAAAAGTTAGCTAAAATAATAATTAATAATTTTAAATGAATCTGCTAATTTTATTAGCAGTGAATATAAAAGAAAAATATACATACTGGCTTGAGTTCAGAGACATCCCAGCCAAGATACTCAGCTACAGACATCATCTGACTGATAATGCAATCAATCTCCTGTAAGAGAAAATCACATCATTTTAGTTATATGAATAATATATTCAGAAATTGCTGTTCTCTTACCTGCTAAATGAAAAAAATTGTTAATAAATAGTACAGTTTAACCTTAGATAAATAGATGATGTGGATTATCAATAGTTTCAAAACAATGCAAAAAAGCTGCAAGTTGTGTTTTACTATAAGAGAATATACCTCATAATAAAGTCTTTCTTAACAGATGCAAACAAACTAAAACCTTAAGAATGTGACACTTAATGTAGTAGTAGACACATTACATGTGTGTTAAACAGTTATTACAGATGTTTTATTATAAGTGTGTTTCGTAATATTAACCATTTTCTTATAAGGGAACATTTGTTATGCATTGACCAAGCAGTCATTGCTACTTTCAGTTGAAATTTATGAAAATATCTCTATTAAAACAATTTTTCAGGAAAATAAGTTTCTCAAGCTCACTACCTATCATTTCTCTATCCAGTACTGATGGGAGCTTTCTTCTTAACGTTTTCTTTGAAGTAGTGTGGAATGTCAACATCTTGATTATGTCATTATTTTCTTTTCAATTTACTTATCCATTTTAGTTGCTGGTGCTGCTGAAAATCCTCAAGTGATGTGGTAAAGTTCTTTTACAGGATTCATTCATTCGCTGGCATTTTTATTCATTGATCTGAGAAAGCAGTTTTAAACAGCTGATAGTTTTTTGAACATCTGTATAAGAGCTTTGATTTGATGAGGCTATTTAAGGACAGGACTCGTTTGCAGGTAAGTGTTTAGGCTTTGTAGCAATTTGTAATGTTGGGAAAAACAACTCATAGCATAGCCTATTCCATATTCAATTTTCTTATCTACAATAATAAATTTGTTATAACTCACCCATGCACCATGCTATTTACTAATTCCACATTCTGAATTTTTATGATGGATTCAGTATAGGTGCCATCATTGCTTTCATTTCAATTCCAGATTATAGTTTCTGAAAAAATTTTTTTTGTTTTGGAAAGGTTTATCTTGTCTTATTTTTTGGAATATTTTGTAGAGGATGCTCATGATCATTCTTATTCAAACTAATGTCATCAGTAAGGTCCCTTCCCCCAACAGTGGCCTTGAAAGGGACAGAAAGAATGCTGTTTTCTATTAGTAGATTCATTTAGAGTGTTTATGGAGTGTTTAAATGAATAGTGCCAATCTATTCACATCTGTGTTTGTATATATGCAGAGCATAGTCTAGAAAAAAGATTAAATAGATTGTAGCTCACATTTCCTCCTTGTGGTACTCCTGATGAGGTTTGAAATGTTTTGGTATTGGAGGCCTCATCAGACATGTGCAATCTTCTATGAATAATTTAATTTATATAATCTTCTGTGAATATTACATGTTATACATCTTAATTAAAATATAATCTCTAAACTGAACACCACAAAGCATGGGGGCTTGATGGCATCCTGGCAATAGTCATTAAGAAATATGCTTCTGTTCTCTCTAAACTGTACAATAAGTGTCTTGTTGCTTCTTGTTTTCCTGCTTGTTAGAAATCTTCTTCTGTAGTTCCAGTCTTTAGGAATTCAAACAAACCATCTGATCCTTCTAACTATTGGCTCATGAGCCTTCTACTATTTTTTTGCAAAGTACTAGAAGCTCTAATCAACTCTAAATTGATTAAGCATCCCATTTAACAGGGTCTACTTTTAGATAAGAAATATGGCTGTCATTTTGCTGTTGATCTAGAGATTTTGTACAAAATCCAAGGAAGAGTTTGTACTGTTATTGATCCTAACTTGGCATCTTAGCTTCAATGTCTCCTACCACCATAACATAGCTTCCCTGTGCCTTTTCTATAAATATTTTAATGGCAATTGGTCTGATACCTCAAGTTCAAGCACAGTACTAGTTTAGCAGCTAGGTCCCATCATTTTATAGTTGAAATTTGTAGATGCAACTTTCTAGTTCTATTCTAATAGTTTTTTTTTTTTTTTGTCTCACATTTAGAACTCTCTTCTTGCTGTTGTATCAACTATAATTTTCAAATTTTAAATGCAATATCCTTCGTCATCTGTCTCCTTGAATATTGTCCTTTTATTGTCCACTCTCCTTAATAATATTTTCTCAATTTCTTTCACTTTCAATAAACCTCTGTTGCCTTTGCAACTTTATCACCTTGTTTCAGGTGAAATGATTAAAAAACAAAAAAAAAAAAATTGTTGCACAAACTTACATTAGAGTCCAGGTATCCATTATTGTCACTATCGTACAAACGGAACATGACTGAAAAGCAAAACATAAATTGCTAAATATGTGTAGATGATGCACAAAACAAAATAAATATTGAACTCACCAATATGACATCTAAATAAGAACTGACAGATAAAACAAAATCAAGCAGCATTGGAACTAAACCCACCCATCCAGAAAGATAATAAGCATTTAGTTGCTTATGTATATTATCTTCTAGGTTTTTTCAAACAAAGAAACAATAAAAAAAAACAAATATGGATATCAGTTAGTGGAATGTATAACTTATAAATACACATAGATTACATGTTTAACTGGGCATATCCAAATCATATACAAACTTAAGATTTGATATGTATTGAACTTGAATAAAGAATTTGAATGCAGGCTGTTGATAACTATTTACAATGATTAGCAAATGGAAACATTAACTTGACAGACAAGTTTCATTAATGACAAGACTTTATCTCAGAATATCTAAAAAGAAAAGTTTAAAAACTAGCTATACATTGTGGAATAAAAGTTGGAAGGAAGGTAGCAGTAGCAAATGGGGATAAGAACCATGCCTAATCATGAAATCTTTAGTAAGCTAATAGTGTCAACTATGAACATAGAGTTTTCAAGTTACAGAAAGAAAGTTAGTCTCATTCAAAGCTGCTACTTTATCCAAATTCTCAAATTTATTTTATGACCAAATATAAACTAAAGACAAAAAACAATAAAAAAAAAAAAAAAAATGAAGAAATATCAAAACTAATAAATTTCTAAAGAAAAAATACTGTCACATTAAACATTAACTTGTATTTACAATAGTAACAGAATCTAGTAATAGTCGGTGTACAAATGTTATATTATTTTGAATGAAGCATACATTGTATTTAAAAGTAAAGCCTGGATTACCGCTTTGTGAACATATAATTTTTAAAACTCTTCAGAAAATTCAATTATCAATAACAATTTTATGTTAGAATCATTTGGAAACATTGAGCGTAACAATGAATTTTCTCTCATTCAGTGACATTAAGTTATGATATGAAATTAAGATATCAATTAAAATATTAGTTAAAACGAGATAAATAGAAGAAAAATTACAAATAAAAATTTACTTACACTCCAGTTTCTCTTCAGGTCCACCTCCTTCAACAAGAGACAAGTAACAGACCACATCTTTAATCAAGATGGAACCTTGCGTGCCTTGAGCATTAGTACCTGTTTTAAAATAGATGAATTTGATTGGCATTTTATCATTAATTTTTTTCTGTAAAACAACTACTGCATAATTAAAATTACACATTACATATAAATCATGCCTATATGATTCCCATTTATAGATAATGCAAATCAAGTGTTTAAGACCTGAATGGATTACCTTGAATATGGGAATTCAAATATAAAATGTTATTTTTTCAGAACATAATCAATTAACCTGTTTATTAAATAACTTTTAGACTGAACCAAAAAACAAGAGAACTTTTATGCTTTTACATATATATTTTTATGAAATAGCATTCTAGTTTTAGAATTGAGCATACTGTTACATTTTAGAGGCAGAACAAGTCCTGTACTTTTTAGACTTGGCATAACCAATTTTGTGCCCTCTCTGGCAACTACTAGCTATAGTTTTAGCTACTTTTGATTTAAATATAGTGAGTCTACAGAAGAAATTTAGCTACACAAATGAATATATATTGTATGAATATTGTGTGAATTTTGCTCTATTGTTTTATACCAATGGATTCTTTTCACTGCTTATTGTTGTTTATTTTAAACTGTCAAAGTAAAGATGGAAAAAAAGAAAGCAAAATCAAGTGATTTTATTGTAGAGTCCAAAATGGGATGTAAAACAGTGAAAATTGTTAGCAAAATCAACCAAGCATTTGTCCAGAGATTGTCAATGAACATAGAGGTCAACATGGGTTCCAAACATTTTATAACAAAAATAAGAGTCTTGAAGAAGAAGGTCATGGATGCCTTTCTGTGATTGATGACAACCAATTCAGGAACATTATTGAAGCAAAATAACTCATGAAGTTGCACAACAACTAGAATGTTATCTATTCAAAAGTTGTTTGACAAATTGGAAAACCAAAAAAAGTTTGATAAATGAGTAAATTATCTATTTCTTGATTGAGAAAAAAAGATTCCATATGACAGCAATTACATTATACAAAGTGGTTGGAGCAAGATGAAGCACTAAAATAGAAGTACTAAGATATTTTCTCAACCAAAACTTGTTATGATCAATGCCTGGTGGTTGGCAACTGGAATCATCCACAACTTGAATTCTGATGAAACCATCACAGTAGAAAAGCATTGCCAGGAAACTGTTAAAATGCACCAAAAACTGCAATGTTTATGTCCTATGTTGTTAATTCAGAAAGAAGCAATTCTTCTCTATGAGAACATCTGACTGTATGTCTCACAATTAACTCTGAGGAAATTATGAAAACTACTTCCCACAACTTATTCGCTAGACTTCTTTTCAATCAACAACTGCTTTTTCATTCATCTAGACAATTTTCCAGAGGAGATAGTTTTCAACAACTAGGTAGTAGCTCAAAATACTGTCAAAGAAATCACTGGTTACAGAACCCCAGAATTCTATGCTATTGGAATAAATAGACTTGTTTATAGTTGGTAACAATGTAAATATTCAATTTGTTCTTATTTTGGTCAATAAATTTTGTTCTAAGCTAAGAGATACTGCTTTAAAGTTGATGGTTAAAAACTTAATTATTTTTGTATCAAATTTTTGCATATATTAAGAGTATGAAAATGTTTTCAGAATATTTTTAATTAAAATTAGTTAATTAATAATAACTAGTATATATATTTATTAAATATAAAATATATTTTCTTATTTCTAATGTTTCATGAATTTTTAAAAAATTCTATCTTGATAAAACAATTTGATGCAATAAAGTTGTCAATGAAATTTTGAACATCAAAGACAACTTTAAGTTTTTGACCAGATAAAGAATGCTGCATTGATAGAGACAAATGATAATCTAATGGCACTAAATTTGCTGAATATGCTGCATGTGGAAAAATTTCCCATCCTAACTCCATTATGGCTTTTAGTGTTATCACAACAGTGTATAGATGAGTATTATTATACAGTGGTACAACTTGTATACTTCCTATAAATGGCCATTTTCTTCAAATGCAATATTCATATTTTGAAAGTGTTGACTGTAATGCTTTGCAGTAATAGAGTCAGCAGGCTTCAGTAATCAATAATACAGTATGCATTTCATATTCTACCAAATACAAAATAACTATTTTCTATAAAGGTCAATTTTTGCTGCTGCTGTTGCAGACTGTCATGAATACATCCATAACTTCTTACATATTACATTATCACAATGAACACACTTTTTTTTTATCTCTAGTGACAATCTTCCACAAAAAAAGAATTTTTATTTCTTTCAAGAAGTAAAATGCAGGTATTGAAATATTGTCCAATCACAATGTGAAACTAATTTTTATACTTTCTGAATCTTCCCCATATTTTGCAAATGTTTTATGATTGGCACCAAGTTTTACAGCCAATTCTCACATTGAGTTGGATTATCATCCAAAACAGCTTACAAGTCATTATTCCTATATTTTTGTAATCTACTACTGCATGGTTTGTCCTCTAAATCAAATTCATCTTTCTTGAGCCTGGCTAATTGTTCACAGTTAAATATGAGTAAGGCCTCTACTATCTTCACTCAATTTAAGGTGTTATCATTATCTACTGATAAAGCACAATACTTTGCTTGTAAATTCTCTTCCAATTCTACTCTTGACTTATCTGGTATATCCTGACTTTCAACTTAGAACTAATTCACTACTGCATGATATGGATATAACTGTGTCCATAGTTTCTGCTATCATCTCTAAACTGGATCCTGACAAAGCATGCCAACTTGACAGTATCCCTGCACTAGTCCTAAATAAATATGCTCTTATTTGCTCTAAAGCTCTGGCTGTTGCTTTGGATATCTTGAAGGTGTTTGACAGTGTTTAGCATTTTGGTCTTCTTCACAAGTTAAAAGATCATGGGATTTCTGGACAAATTTTTGATTTCATTCAATCTTTTTTATCAAATCATGAAGTTGTCTAGAATACCTATTTTTACAGTTCTTTTCACTTTAATGCAAATGTTCCCCAGGGCTCTATACTTGGAATGACTTTCTTCCTAATTTTTATCAATAACCTACACAATGCCATCACTTTTTGACTCTGTATCTATGCTATTGACTCTTGTCTTAACAGTAAGTCTGACAGGTTTGATAAAATCAAATTGGTAGATGATCTGAAAAATAACATTCAATCTGTTGCTAACTTGAAAAATAAATAGCTTGTTAATTTTAAAACCTCATAAACAAAATTGCTTTATTTTAATCATCTTAGAGAATCATTCCATGGCTGATGCTAACCTCCAGATGAGTGACTCATTGCACCTTCTCAGTCTAACAATGTAATCTTTCCACTGACAAGAAGTAGAAAGATTACAGTGAATCAATGGTAGGTCTGCTGCTAAGAATGTTGGTTCACTGTGTTGTGCTAGACAAACTTACACATTTATAAGCCTACTATTCATTCATGTATTAAATATTGCTGTCACATCTGGTCTGCTTCTACAGCTAAGTGCTTAAAGATTCTTAATAAAATTCAAAGAAAAATTTGTAATGTTATTGGTCCTGACCTGGCATCTCAGCTTCAGTCACTTTCCCACCACCATAATGTAGCTTTCCTGTGACTTTTCTATATTTTCATTTTAGAATTTTTTATCATTTTATTAACTACTTTCTAATTTCAACCAAGATTGTCAAATGAATAGATATTTCTGGTTTTGAGAAGTTTTTCAAAATTTCACATATAAAACATAAAATTCTACTTTCAATTATTGGAATGATTATTAAATACACTTTTTATCCTCTCAAACAAGCAGATATTTAGATATGTGTATGTGGGCATAGTGCATCTACATTCATACAGAATCACCCAAGTATAGATTTTGTATCATCTATTATTTCCTGTATTGAGAAATTAACTAGCAAGGATTTAAACTTCAGTGTAGTAATATAGATTTTGAGCCAGTTTTATGCATACCTATGTGACAGCATAAACTATAAGATAATCTCAAGGTTAACCAATTGAAAATAAGCTAATGTACAAAATCATCTGCTGATTTCATTTGCATGTGATGCAGTTACTATCTAGAAATCTGATAAATTTGCTTCACAAGTACTTCCTGCTTTTTTAAAATAAGATCAAATGTCCATTAGAGGAAGTATCTAATCATTTATACAAAAGGGAACAGTTGGCTCTTACAGGGAAGAGTTGGCTCTCTAGCCTTGGATGGTAGCCAGTCTAAGAAAAAGAAAACTCTGAATTCAAATGAATTGGGGGTACTGGCAAACTTTATATACTACACATCTTTCACATCTCAATTTGGATATTTTCCCACTATGAGAACTGCCTACACCTATATCTGCAGGGCACACTGTACTGTATGATAATTTATTGATACTGGGACATATCCAAATGTAATAATCTAGAACAATTATTGGAATCAACTAATTCTTAATTAAAATTTTTAGCATGTACTGATACACAGTAGTGATTAAAAAAAGAAAATCCAAACATTTCAGTAAAAAATATCAGGAGACATTATCTGTCATTTAGAAGATGGGTGGATAATCAATTTCAGATGAATCATTTCATGAAATCACATCACTGGATTGAAATTTGCATTTAAATGGACAGAGATTTTTATCAGTAACAAAAGAACTGCAGTCTAAATACTCAAGTATCCACAATTTTTCTCAGCTTCTATTTGCTCTCTTAATATTTTTGTATTAACTATGATAAAACTTGTGGCTAATGCAGGCTATTTTATAAATAATGATATGCTTCTGTTTGTCTGAAGATTTACTTCATTCTTTACAAGCTTATTTATTTGATGTGAACTTTTTCTCTTTTTTTATTTGGATGCTTAAATTCTTTACTTTATTAACCTTTTCAGAACCAACAAAACTCCTTTATCCTTTTGCTAATATCCACAGTACAGTGATGTACCAAAAGTCATGGAATAGCAGTATGTAAAGGTAATGGTAGGTGATGCCACTGCCTAGACTTATATCTGTTGTGCTCTGATATTTGATGAGACACCAGCTGGGCTGCTTATGGCAAAGTAGTGTTAATTATGAAGTGTG